AAAAAAAAATAGAAAAATATACAATAAAAAACGAAATTTTATACATAAAAAATATGTATAAAGTCTGAGATTAATGCAAAGTTAATTAATAATTTTTTTCAAAGCTTAATTTCTAGATTCCATTTTTCCAAACTTCTACTTACAAAAAAAACCCTCTTTGCTTGCAACTATAATGGACTAAAAGTCACTCCGTATATTTGGGCTCTTCAGCCACCTCTTCTGACGGACGCCGTACAACAATTTCTATGTCTGCCTGTTACGCCCGGTACAAAAATTATTTTCTGGCTAAAACAGGACGAAGTAACTACTATCAGGATGAATGCTTGGCTTTTATTTGGAGGTAAATATTCATGTTTTGTGTGTTTTTCTTAAAGTCATAGTACACAATTAGACCACTTTAATGTAAAGTGTCATTTTATGATGGATATATTCGTACTAAATATCACCTCTATGTCAATAACATGTTTTTGTGGCAACTCAGCAGCTAACATTTAACACCACACCAGCTTTCCACGTGAGTATTTGAGTAGTTTCAGTGTTAGAGGGCGTGAGTGTGAGCGAGGGCGTTGCTGCACATGCTCAGCCAGCAAGTTTGTTCTCTCCAGAGAGGGAGAGTAGAAATCAAAGGACAGATCTCTGGCTAAGAACAGTAAACATGATTTACAGTCCATTCCCTGGGTGTAAAGGCCAACTATTCTTTGCACCTTGCTGTTATCAAGTCGCAGGTAACCTGATATAATCCTGACAGAAACAGCTCACCCTCTATCCTCGGTGTGTGGAGGTCCACACCCTCAGGCTGGAAAATGACTCATTCTGGACAAATTAAGGGAACGATTCATATAAAACCTGCAGGAGACTTTAGAGAATTTCTATCATTCATGTGGCAGAAATTAATGGACGCCAAATGACAGCTTCTCTGCTCACGTATTTTAACCTGTTGCTAACGGCCCCTCCTGCCTAAACCCATTCACCTTCCTGCGTCACTTATGCTGTCACCGTTTCCATGGAAACTAATGATGCCCTCTCTACTCCTTGGTGCTGATGCAGACAGTCTGCTGACGTCTCCACCGTGTATGGGCGGAATAATAATTGTTCTGCCACAGTTTTCCACCGCAGTCAGACCCACTTAGGTGATCCTGGTTATT